CTGCACATACTTAACTAGGACCATACAACCGGTGGGTTTATCACCCTCCATCTCTCGAGTCAATATCTTATATGGCTGTGAGATCGTGATGACAACATTAGTAAAATAAAAAGCACAGACAAAATTGAACAACTTAAACGGACACTTACAGTGAGAATGTCTAAAATGTCTCTCATACCTTGCCAATCCGCCACTGAGAAGATCATCTCTTCGAAATAGCCATGCTTTTTACCATCTTTCCTTGGACGACGCTTCTTCGAGTGTACTTCAGCTAAATCCTCCTTCATCACATTGTCAATCAGCTGAAGTAATTGAGATTGATCAGCCTTGGTTCTTTACACATCGAGTTTGGAGAGAGAAGGGTTAAAAAAATGGAAACTTACATGCCGAGCTTCCCACATTCGCTCCCAACGTTCGGCGCGAATACCCCACCGAATACCATGTCCTGACAGAAGTACTTTGAGCTTAGACAATCCTTCGGAAGTACGCTGAGTATTGGCAATATCTCGGCGCCGATTGAAATCAGCCCGATGAGCACTTGAGCGGGTTATTTTCTTATTGACTGTGTCCATCTGGAAAAAGATGGAACAAAACATTTGAAAAAATTAACAAAAAAGAATTTATAAATAATGAAGCAAACATTGAACTCACATCTTTAGTTAGTTGCTTCATGTAAGTATCACCTAGAAGGTACGCGGCTTGGCGGCTGCGATAATATCCGGGCTTGTCTTCTTGCTCGGTATCCTCATCATCTTGATCAGCATTCGAATCAGCATCGTTGGAAGCAACACTCTCCAAATCGTCACCATCCTCGCTAGCTTCATCATCTTCAGTCCTTTCGACTTGCTCCGTGTCGTCCTCTTCTTCGTTGATAACCGCCATAAGCTCGACTTGAGGAAACCTACCTAACGCGCTATGACGGATACGGGATGGTTTCATTCCAAGGGCATTGAGTCCTGATTTGACGATCAAGCCCATTTTATGGCAGAAACACCGAACGGACATTTCTTTCGGCTTCCAACTGAAATGATGTCCCGATCGTACGCCTTCCTCGTATAGCTGACGATGCATTTCACGACCGAGAGTGAAATTGTTGCTACCTGAATCAGATACGTTCGCAAGCATGTAAGATTCGTCCTTATGTCAGTACGTAAATATAACCCAATACAAAGTGAAAGAAGAATGAAAAAAGAACATGATGTGAGAAGAAAAGAAAAGTAAGAAGAAAATGTAAAAAACTTATCTTTTGATATAAACTGTTCTTCTTCAATATAGCCACCATTGGCTCAGCAAGCATTGTACCCTTATGATGCCATGCAACGAGTTTGAAACTCAGGTGTCGCACGACATATTTCCAATCATCCGTAACAAAGGACACCAATGCCCCAATAAACGCGTGAAGGTTACCTTTAACGGTCCAAACGTCTTGTATCAAGCAAAACTTGCTTTTCAAGTCCTGTCAAAGATAAGGTGACAATAATCGTTAGGTCATCAGTATATTTAAGTGAAAGTTGTGTTTGAATGAAAGAAAACACACCTTGAGCTCTTTATCAATCACCGAGCTCCGGAGAGATAAATACAAACGTTTGCCTTCATCGGAGACCCACTTTCGGCCGAATACTCGAGCGTCGGGTCGTAGCCAATACAAGATGGCCTTCAGCATTGGATCGTCAATGCGGGTGAAAGGTAGAGCGTGAGACACTTGCCACACCGCGAGGCATTGGTTGAGAGTTTGGGTTAGAAAACATAGGGTGCCGGGGTGATAAAAGACTCAAGTCCGCCTTGATGATCTTCCTGACGACGTTGGATACGGAGTTCCGAAACCGTTGGAGGTAGTTTCGCACCGGCCGCAATCGCCTGTTGCCGACGAGAACATCCCGCACCCAACTTCCCAGGTGCGTTGCTACGGTCTCGATGAACTTTGAGGTTCGATCTTGAGCTGCCGCTGATGCGGACAACCTTGCCACAGAATCGACAAGTATAAGAGTATCCTGGTCCGTCTGGTGGCTACAAAGGAATGAGAATGAATATCAGCTTTTAGATAGAAGATAGAAGATATGAGATATGAGACTGTGGTATTGGAGATAATTGAGATGAAATATACTTACGTCTGGCAGCCCATCTTTGTTAACTCCATGTACGGGGTTTTCAAAATAATCGTATGGAGAGTTGTATTCAAGCTCAGCGGGCTGATTGCGCTTTCGCTTTCGGATCCGATCGTTCTCCTCATCGGAATCCTGTGCTAGGTCGACTACTGGAGGTTCCTAGAGAGTTTCAAAAGACAGAGTAAGTATAAGGGTTAGCTGAAATTAAATTGAAATGAAACCTCACTTCAAGATTAGCAACACTTTGACTCTTCTGAGACCTCGATTGGCGCGGACAATTCACTGAGTTGCCTCTCTCAACCTCTGAGACCGAGACAGAGCGCTCTCGGGTTCGGTTTGAAGAAGCTGTGCCCTAAACAAAATAGCAGGTGTAAGAAAGATATCAAGTGAAATGAGGAAATCAAACAAAAACAAATCAGCAGACTTACCTGGAATAACAAAACCAACACACGAGCCGGGTCACCAATATCTAGGCTTCCAGGTAGAGAGGCTGAGCGCTCTCGTCGCCGATGGACATGTCCATCTCGAACGTCTCTACCTAAACCTAAATCAACTAGGCCGCGACGAGAGTCGGAAGAGGGAATGATCATGCCTGCTTCTCGTCTGGCTGGGGTGACCACACGGGACGAGCGGCGAGGTTGAGTAGCAGGGCCATCGTCGGTCTCGTATCCCGACGACACAAAAGAGGTAAGGGTTGGTTGCTTAGACTTAGACATGTTTAGATTGGATTTGATGAAATTGAAAGTATGAAGAAGTTGAAAGGTGATGTGATGGTGAATGATAGATAAGGAAAAGAAATAGAGACGGAGAAAAATATCAGGTCAACAAATGTAAAACAGATGAGTCGATGAGAATTCAAGATAGACTCAGTACATACCTTTATGAGATGGAGTCTGTTGGTCCACTGTCCCAAAAATTGAAGCCATGGTTTGTTGAGGCTGAGTGAGATTGATCTATCGTGGCATAGAAATCCCATGATGTGGAGGAGGATCTGAAAGGAAGATCGATAAGTTGATATGGTGGATCTGTTCAATAGTTCAGAGGCGCCAAATCGTATATCTTGATTCGATTTCGATTGGCTGGAGCGATTCGATTGGCTGGATCCGTGGCTTGGTGTTGAGTGGGGTACGTCGTATGGCCTGGTATAGTCTGAGCGCTGGCAATAGGACAGCGTTCAGATCTAGGTGGCTGAGCCGGTCATCGGAAAACGCAGAGCTGACATTTTGGGGTCCCAAATGTCAGCTGGATACGCAGCGCCCCGGGGCCAAGCTTCCCGGCCAACGGAGCGGCTACGCCGGGCGCTGCGGTGCGGCGCGCTGCGCGCTTTCCTCTGCGCTGCGAGCCAGGTTTGCTCGGATATGTATGAGATCCAGAATGACTGATTTTGTGCGAAATTGATGGTCAATCCAATGGGCTGTCACTCCCAAGATTGGGTAGTGATTATTGGAAGTCCACCCGTCAAAGGTCAAGCTGACATAGTGAGTATCGGTGAATTCTTTGACTAGGTGTTCTTGGTAATGTGCTGTCATATTGAATAGTGCATCTTTAGTTGCTGTTGAGCCCACCAGCATGCTTGCCGCGCTGGGATCGAGGAAAGCGATGTGGGATCGATAAGCTTCTGATTCGGAAAATCGCAAAGGCAACTCCTCCATCACAATGAGACGAAGTTGAGATTGTTTGACAGTTTCCGCTGTAATCCTTGTGTTCTATGGAATTAAAGGATACAAATCCGAAGCTTTTAGCAACCAAAGCTCTACCTAGTTAGCAAGGAGAGTACTTACCTGGTCAACAGTGGGTGAATGATTGGGACTGGTTGTTTTAGGATCCACCATATTATGGCTATGATTGAGATGTTGAATGAAAGACTTAGTGCCTCCGCATGGTGTAATCAGAGAGTTACACTTGTTGCTTGATCTTGGCAAATGTACTGTACATTGGTACTTGACCTCCAATACTGTTTTGAGGTGCTGTTCCTTGGTAATCTTCAGGACAACAAGATTGAAGTGTTTCCACACCCAAGATTTCTTTGCTGAAGATATTTCAGACTGTAGTCTTTCAGTAATTTTGTCTTCTAGTGTACCGTTGGAGCAGAGTGTTGGAATGATCTGGTTTTGTGAGGATGTGTCTGCTGTATTTGGAAGTGTGTGAGTACAAAGCCAGACATCCGCATTTATGATTTCTCCAGAAGTCGACAAAGAGGTAGATTGAGATAGGTGATGTGGTGTTGTGATTTCTGATTCGGAGATTGAAGTTGATTGGGTGCTTGAAGTTGATGAAAATGTTGACTGAGAGCCTGAGGGGTACGGACTTGGTCTTGAAACAATACATGTTTCATGTCAACGGGGAGCTGGCATGGTACAGGAATTTGATATTAAAACACTCAATGAAGAAGGACAAAGTGTTTTGGCTTTACAGGTGCGTGTCTTTCTCCAATGATCCATCATTCATTGCATTACGTCATTTGCTGCATGGACCTGCAAGGCTTGGGCCTCAGCCCTGCAAAGCTGTATGAGGCCAAGGCCTAGGCCTCACTTGGTGAGGCTGGGGCAAGGCTAAGGCCCTGGGGCCAATTTTTTGCCCCGGGTGTGACTGTGACTCCTTATCCAAGGATTTATGTTGATCACCAATCATTCTGATACTAGGCAGGAAGAGCTGGAAGAGAAGTCCTAGAAAAACAGTATTGGTGCAGAATGACATGAGAAGCCTTCTGTATAGCATCATGCCCTATCACACCATGATTCTTTTTAGTGAATAGAGTACGGTCACTCAAGATCCTTCAACTTTCATATCACAAAACAACAACATATGTTTGGGTATCCTTAGCTATGTACTCCAAAGAAAGACATGAATGTGATGAACATTTGCTTAATTTTCTGCCTGCTTACTTCATGATTTGGCAAATGTAATTGAATAGGCTGTCAATCATTTATGAACTGGCAAAAGAGTCATTCTTATAGATGCGTAAAGGTAGTAACGGGTCTGGATTGCATTCTCTCACCTTGAGATCCACGATTGCCTGCGATAAGTATTATAAAGCTACACACCAGGTAAAAGAAATAGAGGCAGCTACAAGATATGGAAGTAAAGACTGTAAAGAAGATCGGAAGGCAGGATTTGAAGAATGATAACAAAAGTGAGATATGGTGTGTTAAGATAAGACAAAATAATGACAAATACCAGGAAAATTGTGAAATAGTGACTCGGATGGACATATCAAACAATGATATGTCCAAGGAATATATGAAAATGAACATTATGAGGAAGACAAAAACTGCACAAAGGCTCTATGTCGCATTTGATAAGAATGGTTCACAATTTCAACTTGTGGGTGTAACGATTGAGCTCGCTGGCAAACTGTTTCATATATGCGACATCTTCACCTCCAAAAACTCGCTTGGGATTACTAGTAAAACCTGCCATGACGAAACCACCTGCTTTTCCGATTGGTTCAGGGCCGAGACGAACAAGCATAGCTGAGGCGTAAGGATTTGCGGTTGCTAATGAGTCTAAACCTGCTTCTTGAACTTCTTGTGAACTTGGATTTTGGTACAACAACCCGCCTTCAGGGGTGCAAAGGACGCGCAGATGCAAGCCTGCATCAAATTGAGGAGGAGGTGAAGGCAAATTGAAGCCTGATAGGACAAGGGTTTGACCCATAGTAGTTGAATCGCCATGTGGCGCGACCGCGATAAGATAAACCAAAGAGAGGTCGAGTGTGTCGCCTACGAGCTTCGTGGCCAGATCAAACACCTTTTGCGTGTTTGGCTTAATGAGGCTAGTTGGGTCATCAAATAAACTCGGTCCCTGAAAGATGACTGGGGCTGATGCTTTGGATATAGATCCTTCATCTGAAAGTGAGGTGGGAGGAGTGGATGTCAAAGTACTGTCGCCGGTTGCCTCATGGACGATCTCTGTCGGCGTCCCTTGGGCATCACCCTCGACGTTTTCAACTAAAGCAACGTTCTCGACAAAGACCTTGTGTGATTCTTCGAGGACCTCCATCTTCACAGCCAATTTACTCTTGAACCATTCTTCAATCTCACGACGTGCATACTCAGCCATGTACACAAGCTTCTTGCGCTCTTCGATACCAAACTCTTCACGCGGCTTGTCGTCAATGACACATAGAGTACCGATGGGACAGGCTGCCTCCTCCGATTCTACTGCTCCGTCCAAGTTGGGCGCCATGAGAGGCACACCTTTATGGTAACCAAAGCCAACCTGTGAGTAAAAATTATGAACACTGATTAAAAACAAGGTGAATGAGGTTTACCTGAGTAGAACCGGGCACGGTAATGTTCGACTAGGGGCGAAGCAGCAAAACGCCAATCCTTTTTAGTGTCCAATATAGTGAATCCCTTACGTCCACTCAAAACAGTATGAGCACCTATTGAGCCAGAGCCGTTAGTTGTCTATGCCATGAAGCTCATGAAGACATGTTCACATACAAACGGTAATTTCACGCGGGGCAGCTCGCAAAGGGGTGAGACCTGACTCAGCCAAGAATATTTGGGATTCGTCTGTGATGATCTGTATTTCGATAAGAAGTGGAGGGTAAGAGACAAATCTGAGTAAAAAATCAAATTAGAGGGATACACAAACTTACACTGAGCATACTGATTTTCGCATCAAACAT